TCCATCCATCCATCCATCCATCCATCCATCCTTCCTTCCTTCCTTCCTTCATCCATCCATCCTTGACGCTTACCCCAAGTACTTGTATATTGTGTCCAGAAATCAAGGTTATTTAACATTGCCAGTCTAGTCTGTTTTGATATAAATTTTGAAGCCAAGCCGCAATGTAGTCATGTCCAAAATGAAGTTTGAATTTAGAGCTGGTTCATAGTAATACAACAAAGATGCTGTACCTGATTGTTTTGGACACGTATTGTCCCAGGGGAAAGGGCCTGGGTAACCACCTGTCCCTGAGGGGTGACGACTGTTACTGGTTGGTAAACTGTATTTCCTGAAAGAAACACAGACCCATATGCACTCAAAGTAACATGTTTATTACAGAAATCGCTGTGCTTCATATGGTTGTTTAAACTGACTATAAAAAAATTTGTCTGTAACTTTTTTAGATTAATCTAAAGCCTTCATTAACAATATTAAACCATAAAAACTCAAACATTACATTATATAAACAAACCTTAGAAGTAGCCTTTTTTTAATTATCTTAGTGAGCAACAATATATAAGGATCTAACATGTTTATGTTGCTTATGTATCAATGACTGGTCTGGACCATTGGCTTCCCTCTTTTCTACTCAAAGTTTTCTTTGAGTAGAAAAGAAAACTACTCAAAGTTCTCTACTCAGTTTTCTTTTTTAATGGCTAAAAATAATGTAGACTTAATAATCATTATAAATCATTATAAAAAAGTTTATTAGGTTAAGAGATTATAACTAAACACAGATACTAAAAATCAAAATACGTAATATTTTTATCTAAAAACAAAAATAACTACACAACAACAAAAGTTTGGGGTCACATTGAAATGTCCTTATTTTTGAAGGAAAAGCACTGTACTTTTTAAAGAAGATAACTTTAAACTAGTCTTAACTGTAAAGAAATACACTATATATTGCTAATGCTAATGTGTTCTTGTGCAAGAACAAGAATAGACTGTCGAGTTTCAGATGAAAGTTCTTTTCTTCTGGCCATTTTAGCGTTTAATTTACCCCACAAATGTGATGCTCCAGAAACTCAATCTGCTCAAAGGGAGGTCAGTTTTGTAGCTTCTGTAACAAGCTAAACTGTTTTCAGATGTGTGAACATGATTGCACAAGGGTTTTCTAATCATCAATTAGCCTTCTGAGCCAATGAGTAAACACAATGTACCATTAGAACACTGGAGTGGTAGTTGCTGGAAATGGGCCTCTATACACCTATGTAGATATTGCACCAAAAAAACTGAAATTTGCAGCTAGAATAGTCATTTACCACATTAGCAATGTATAGAGTGCATTTCTTTATAGTTAAGACTAGTTGAAAGTTATCTCCATTGAAAAGTAAAGTGCTTTTCCTTCGAAAATAAGGACATTTCAATGTGACCCCAAACTTTTGAACGGTAGTGTATGTCTAGTTCTCTCTATCTTGTTGATTTGAAATTATAGATCTCATACATTTTGTGTCTTAAAATAAATTCTAATATTGAAAAAATTAAATCATGTTTATATTATTAAAATATATTATCAAAACACTTTGATAATTAATAAGCTTCCTTATTGAGTTTACCATAAGGACTTAATATCTCTTTAACTTTTTAAAGCCTGTATTGTTTTATGGGGAATCGTCCCTTGCTTCTTATTAGAACTGCAAATAAGGACTATTTTGCTTATTAATTTTCAATTCAATTCAAATAAACATTGTTAATCCCAAAGGGAAATTAAATTTTGCAGTAACTCAGTTATTTTTTGATTACTATTTCAATAAATCTATTAATAATCAGATAACAAAAGGTGCGAAAGCGAAAACCACTTCGGGAGTTCTAGATAAAGCATATTTACAGATTAAAAACATTTTTCAATATGAATCCAAGAAAGTATAACTATACTTATATACCACAATCTGTTTCTTCTGTTGTATCTCTCCAAGTCCATCCAAGTTAGCTGTTGAAGGATGGTTGAATTGAATCTATAAAGCCCTTTGAGATGACGTGTTATGTGTTATATCTGTTATGAATTGGCACTAGGTAAATAAATTGAATTGTATTACTCATTTGGGGTTTTCTCATCTTATCTGCACATTTTGTTTATTTCCTTGTAGATCGGTTGTGAATTATTGTACTTCATTTGGCATACTCAGAACTAACTACAATAACGAAGAAAAAATTGTACCTGTGACTACTTGGGTGGGGTTGACAGCTGTAACAGTAACATTTCCTTGTTGCAAGGCTGAAGCTGGCACCACAATTTGACCCTGGGGACTGATGGTGCCCGAAATGGAACTTGGAGTCTGGAGATTAAAGCATTCACACATTGCATTATTTCCACTCTAATGACTCCTTTATTTGCAACTTAAAAAACATTCTTGGTCAAGATTTATGATTAAATTTGCAGCTACTTTTGTAGCCATATAAATTTGGAGTTTTGGTAACTACATACTTGAGTCTTGGTGGGGGAGAAGTTCTGTGCCTGGCCTTGTACAGGAGAGTAAGGGCTTCCAGGGTCTCCACTCAGAAGGGTCTCGCTATTCATCTTGGTCTTGAGGCAGGCTATATATCGGCTGCAGAAGTCCTTACACAGGTCGCTCACCTTCTCAAGCTCCAGCAAATGGATCCGTAGAACCTGAATGGCTTTCACCATCTTAACATAAAAAATGCAAAGAAAGTTCAAAGAACAAACAGTGAATCATATTTATTTACTATGAATTTTGCAGAGGTAATCTCTTTGTTCAGTGGGCAAAGAAAAAAACAACTGTCAACTAAGAATGATTTTGAAAATACAAAACTGCCAATTATTTTTGATTTTTATGAAAATATTGCTTTGTTAATGTTTTGGCTCTGGTTGGAAAAGAAATGAAAGGTGCTAGATGTGCTCCAGCACTACCATCCATTTTTACTTCCGTAAACACAGCACGCTCGCTCCTTGTGACGTCACTGCATCATCAACTGCACATAAATGATGCTTAAGTTGCATGAATTCAGTTCACACAGGAGATCACATATAAGTCGCACATATTTGGAAATGTAAACAACCACGTAAAATATTTGACAAAAAACCCCTCAAAAACTAAAAATGTACCATTAAGGCCTGCAGTGTGAACATAGCCTAAAAGTCAAGTACTTTGTGGGATTGTACAGTGGTGTATGATCAATCAGTTATACCAGACAGTTGTGAGTGGTTATTATCTCATGTAGAAAACAGCCTACCGTATTTTCATGACTATAAGGCGCACTTAAACGTCTTTTTTTTCC